CAACGGAGCCCTTAATGAAATTTATTAATGAATGAAATTTTCTCTTAAGTCAACCTTCTCAGTCTTTATTGGCCTAGAGCTCTTGATTTTTTCTGCGAAACTCAAGAAAAAAGAAGAAAAAAAAAAACTAAACAAATGCAACAATAGACTTCCAGAGTTCAAAATTGGCATAAAGTCATAGCCAACCAAAAGCCAAAGCATCGTTGCCGCTGATTTGGCATCCAAGTTGCATATTTGATGATTCGACAGGTGGTTTTGTACGATGAAGGTGAAATCATGAATTTTTACAAAGGTGTACAAACTTTTTCCTTTATTATGTGCGGGTGGCCGTTTACTGACGCTTTATTGAAAGGTAATTGAACGTACTTAGTCAATTCTTGGTGAGGTGAGATGAACTAGTTTCAACAGATGGGGTGATTTTCCTACAAGTTAACACAGATTTTCCACTTTTCTAAAGGATTAGCACCAAGTTTTTCACCCTTCTAAGTGAAAAATTATCACCCTAAAGGTGATTCCCCCTTTGCCCACGCACTCAATCATTGAATGACACAAGCATCTTTGGAGGCATTAGACAAATACACTCCATTTCCAATTATAAAGTTGCACATGTCAAAATCTGATAAGTTTTGAGTAACTATTTTTAGCCGCCCGATCAATTTGAACAGTTGTGATTCATTGTTGCGGAAATCTTTATTCTGGAAGGAGAGAAACACTGTTCATTGACATTCAGAGCAGCCAGCCAAACATTTCAATGCGTGCTTTCTCAAACCAAATAATCTTATCTCACTTTTGCAGATTCTCCATTTTGTTTAAATTGGAATTTTTACTCTTCTTAAAATGAAGAGCACCACTGTTATTTTTTTATTTATTTTTTTTATTTTTACCCTAAGGAGCAAAAATAATGGGCTTGAACAAATGGACTGAAATCAATATTGGGCTCAACTGGAATTAACCCACTTCAACCAACTTTGATAAACTTTTCTGGGCCCTTGTTGTTGATCACTCAAAAGTTCAAAACTCCACCTGTCCATATCCATTAGGCTACTTCTTCCAGGCCCCATTTCTCCTCCACACTCTAATAGTATATTAATCCAAAAGAAAAAAAAATTGAGTGTGCCTAAACCAACTTCTTTCTCCACCAACCTTTTCTTACTTTAATACGCAGCTTAATTTGGCAGAAAGTTGTACGAGCTTTTAATTTATATGTATGCTTTTTCCATGTACCTTCCATCACTAGCCCCAAATTGGTTAACAAATGGGATTCCTGTCAGTATCATTTTTTTTTACAAAATGATATTCTAAATTACTCTAATGTACCGTGCTGGAATCGAGCCCAAATGGAGGTGGGGGGAAAGGTGGACACACCGGTATAACATACTGACCTAACCCATACATCTAAGTTCAGATTGATAGTTTGATAACGTAAACATTTTATTTATATATGCTATGAAATATGGTGGCAAAACAACATTCTCCATGAAACATAATCAGCATATTGACATGCATGGCATGATCATTTTTTTTTCTTGCTAATTAATGTCTATCACCTTCCCGTTTTGTTTTTTTTCATAGCTGATCCCTTCTTAATTGCTATAAACCAGCATTATTTGTTTCTCTCAGGAGCTACAACTTGCAAATCCACAATGGCGACCCAAGCCGTCAGTTTAGTTGGTCCATGCCGATTTCAGCAACTACGAGCTTTATTAAGCGTATCAAAATGATAAATTTTTTTTGTTTGAAGGTCACATCTCATGTAGTGTTATAAATTTTCGTGTTATAATATTAATAAATAAAATAATACACGTGCTATAATACCAGTACACTGATAACATCCCCAAAAAAAAAAAAAAAAAAACCTATATAGAACCTACGTACTCACATTGGTTAAATTCTTTGGGTTTCTTTCATCAGCAAGCAGTGTAGGTCGTTTCTCTCACCAACCTTCATGAATAATAGCCGTGTGGACAAAAAACAACCATTTGCATCCTACATTAGCCAACAGCCCATACTTTATAGTACAATATTGGAAGAAACTTAACACTGCTAACATAATGCAGGCATTATGCGTCAAAGTTGGGTGACACTGCTCTTTACAAATCAAAAGTTTTCTATCATCCACAAATCCTAGGCCACAAACGTAAATGAAATGTTGTTAGTTGTGTATGTGAAACATTGATTATGTTATTTTTTCTTTCTAAAGATGTCTTGTTCATAAGCATTTAGCTATCTCACAATATAATATTCAGCATATGGGAAATATTAGCTACATTCCCCTTCTACTTTCTTCCTTGATGTTTTCATCCTACAATTTTTAGAAACGAGCAAATATATGAACCTAGTGTGTCTGATTAAACACTGAAGTAGCACGCTATTAATCAAATTGCTAAACGATTTTCAATTTAATTGATTTTTAGTATGAACAATCCTTAAAGGACGACCACAAAAATCATTCGATTTCAATTATCGATTATCATAAAAAATTGACGAAGAAATGGAAGGTACAAAGAAGTAGCTAGCATTCTCCTACTCATAAACCATAATACAAAGGTACATCATGCCGTCAAAGTGGGGCGACTCTGCTATCATACAAGATTTCTCTCCATGTCTCAAAAATATCCTGGCCCCAGAGGTCGTGCTCGTTTCAAACTCGATGAACAAGTCAATATTGTGTACTTGCATTAGTATGAACATGTTTGTAGTTTGTTTTGGACTATCGAAGACGCGTAGCATATTCAGCCATTATTATGCCAACAATTAATATGACCTGGTATATATACCTAACAAAAAACCCATGCATTTACTCATACAAAACCCACATTTTTTTTTTTTTTTAAGCAAGGTGTTAAAAGTTGACTAGATGTTCACCGGCAAGAATTCAGTACAAAAATTAACGTGTGGTGAGACTGAAATGATCAGAGTGGTTTGTACGTCGTGTTACATGAATTGCTATATAAGAGGTGCATTAAGTCTTCAAGCCACTTTCCACACCCTCCACCCTAGTTTAAGTGTGACATCTCTAGCTATATTCAATATTCGACTACTCACACAAAACAAAGTACTGGTGGTTGTCGCTAGATTTCTTTTCTTGTATTAAATTTTATTTTAATTGTGTCGTAACAACACTGGTGGTGGTCACTAGAAACTAGTTTCTTTCGTGCTTAATTTGGAGAATTTGTTCTTATATTATATCCTTCAAGATTTACCCATATTCAGTACATAATTGCTTGTGTTCATCAGTTATATACTATCGCTTATTTTCAAAATATTATACGTACCCTTCAAGAAATGACATCCATATGATTTAGGCATATGCATTTTCCATTATTTACCAAATGAGAGAGAGATGAGACCAAGACAACAATAAAAACAATAAGGATTTTTACTGAATTTCATCTTATCTTTATCATATCATTAACGTGACATTTTATGACTTAGGTCTTAGGGCATTTGACAAACCCAACAACAATACACAGGGAACAATTTCCACAAGGTCTAGCTATGGCTATAGCTGATTAAGCGCCATCTGAGACTTGGACAGTTGAAGAGGAAGAAAATTATAGCCTCCCATTATCTCATTTTTCTCAGGCTACTTTTATATATCCACCTCTCGACCCCCCTACCCCTCTCTGCTAATTTCGAAAACTAACATATGCATATCACATCGACTTGACTTGAAGAGGTCTTATATTTTTCTTAACCACTTTTTGATGAATTTCTCCAAATCTTCTCAAGCTCTCTAGCAAACGCCTTCTGCCTCCCAACCACAATGGTGATGTGATCTTTCTTCTCGATCACCTTCACGCGAGCCCGAGGGATTTTCGACTGCACATTGTAGCTGCACTCTACTGGGATTAGCTCGTCGTCTTTGCCGTGAAACACATTCACATCACATTTTAGATGGTCTCTCACAACGTCTAAGTATTTATCCATCTTGCCGGCTGTGCCACATATAATGTTGTGCAGTGTGTGCCATGCTGCGTTGTGAGTGTGGCAGAAGAACCCTTCATACAAGAAAGTTCTGATCCTGCAGATTACCAAACAAAAAAACAAATTAGTATCTTGATTAAATTTAATAAGTTAATTCTTTACATACAAAAATATAGATTCCATGTGCGTTTTTATTTTTTGAAAGCGTATCTATCATACGTACTCATCATATATATCTCTCGTCAATTTTATCATAAATGGATGCCACCTATCTATATAAAAGAAGTTATAATAAATCATTTTTATTGAATTTGCAGCAACATTTTCCGGCATAATAAATCGCGTTTTTATTTTTTGAAAGCGTATCTATCATATGTACTCATCATATATATCACTCGTCAATTTTATCATAAATGGATGCCACCTATCTATATAAAAGAAGTTATAATAAATTATTTTTATTGAATTTGCAGCAACATTTTCCGGCATAATAAATGACGAAACCAAATTAAATTGGAGCTTCTAAGTCATCGGTCTCCATCGGTTGTGACTTTGGTCTCCTAAATAATTGACCCATGTCCCTCAGCAGCAGCAGGGAAGAAATTGAAAATTGACCCTTGCACCATACCTTCTCCCCTATTATTTTACATTTGAATTAAATTCTACACCAAAATCATATCTAATGTACGACAGCGTTTCATTGAGAATTTATTAAGAATTTCTAATCTTATTCGTTGAAGCGCATGTATGAAAAATATGTAACGTTACATCTAAGAATTTCTAACCTCCCTCTCGAATAAATGCTTTTATAAATGTGGAAGAAGCAGATGTCACAAAGTTATGGACCCATCAGACATTGACTGGTTAATGCAAACACAAGCTGGACCAGCTCAGCTGCCATGGTATTTACTAATGGGAGATGATGGGTGGGTTAGGATCTATCGGTTATCATCACAGTGGACCAATCAATGCCGATGCGTACAAAAAAGGGTCCGCAAGTACCGTTTTGGAAGCTTAGAAAATTGTTAATGGCATGTAAGAATAACGTGGTTTCGTGTGTCTAGAAAGGGGCTTTGGTGGTTGGAAATGAGGCACAATATTCTACAAGGTGATGGTGAAGCGATGAATTCAGTTGAAGAAAGTTACCTGTTTCTTGTGACAAGTTTGGTAAGAAATTCCACAATTCGGTGGTTCTTGCAAATCAGCAAACAAATAGTCCTTGAGATGTGCTCGTACCAGCAAGCAATGGAGGCACCAAAGGCAATCACAGGCCACACCCGCCTTGGAGCCACCCTTCTCATCACATATTGTGTTGCTTGTTCTCCCTTTGGTATAGGGTAATATGGCTGCCACGTCATAGGTTCAAAAAATAGGGATAACGCCAATTAAACTTGGCACAAACTTGTGGACAAATAATGCCCCCAATAAATGTACACTTCTACAGATGTGACCATATGATATAATGACAATTTTTGTGCTTATGTTCAAAATTACGATCTTTTAAAAACGACATGGTTTTAAATATGATTAAGCATAACATCATGACAAAAAAAACACAGAAATGGAAAACATTGTTTTCAAAAATTTGGGTAAGGGTCGTATATAATCAAGAGGTTGAACTTACAGGTGCAAGTAAGGTGAGGGACTTAATGGAGAGAGGGTGTTTAACAGCAAGAGCAAGGGCCAAAATGCAACCCAAAGAATGAGCCACAATGTGGAAGGATTTAACTTTGTTGGGTTCAAGCACAGATCTTTCTATCATCTCCAAATGCTCTCTGAGGGTGTACATGGAGTCAGTTGGCTTTGGGCTCCTCCCAAACCCCAACAGATCAATAGCAAAAAGCCTAAAATTTGATTTTGCAGCACTTGAAAAGTTGGGGAACAATGTTTCAGTCCAGAATGCTGATGATGAAATAAACCCATGTATGAAAAGCACATCTTCTTGTGCCTTATAATCTGAAATGGCAAGAAGAAATAAGTCACATAATGCAGATTTTGTGATATATATTTTGTGAAACAGAGAAAATTATTTTACCTTTGGGTCCCTCTGTTCTAACATAGAGGGTTTCTTTGCTATTAGAGGTCCAAGAGGTACAAAATTTACAATCACAATCAGACCACCTTGGGATTGGATGGCATTGTTGGCCTCCAATCTTGCCTTGAAGCATTTCAACAATGGTGGAGTTGACAGTGAAAGTGGATCTCACAGTCCCTTTCTTGGTCTCCTTCATGGTCAGCTTTGAGACCTCAGACAAGAGGGAAGGCCTTGTGTAGAGAGTGTCAGAGATCTCCTCAAGTTGCAGCTTGGTGGAGCTAAGGCACACAATTTTAGACTCACCTTGCTCAGAGACCAAGATTTTGCCACTGCTAGTAATGGCTTCTTTGGATGAGGAGCAATAGCAAGGCTTCCATTCAGCCTCAATGAAAAAATCAGCAACTCTGTACAGAAAACAGAGGAGGAAATCCACAAGGTCTAGAACTGAGAACACAATGAAGCTCACAGCCTCGTTTATGACCCTACCAACCAATGCCAAAGCAGATTTGGCCTTGCCTATGGAAGCCATGTAAGCTCTAAGACACACCAACCCAAAACTATATAAGTGGTGAAATAAGAGGCGGAGAGAAGAAGGGTTCCTATAGAAAATGCAATGTCATGGATATAATCGGTTTGCTTGGTCTCTCAAGTGCAATTAGCTGTAGCTGAGCTTCCTCTTCCTCTGCCCTCTCTCTCTCTCTCTCTTAATAGAAAACCCAAATGCTTGAAATAAGAAGAGAAGGGCTAGAAGAATAAAAG